TAGTAGGAAGCAGCCACTTGCCACATTGTGAGATATGAGTCTTCTTGAATATTGGTTATCTCCTTTAGCTGAGCAATCGTGATATTTTTATAGACTCAGCTGTTGTGGTCTTTGCAAATAAGTGCACGTTTGTGGTCCACTCCTCAACTCTGAAGCAGGAAATATATTTCAAACTCTCTTCAAAGACTGCCTGTATTCAGTGCTTTCAGATGTGATTGGACAAATATAAAAACTCCTCCTGCATTGTGGTTGGATAGTTAACTAGAAAAAAATTCAGAGTTGTCGCGAAACCCTATCTGATTTAACCCAACTAATCAGAAATCTTACAGCTACTATTTTGCTCTGTCATTCTAGGAGATATGCAGGTTTAACTGTTAACTGAGGAGAGTGTTGTTTTCTCTTAAAATTAAGGATTTTATTGTTCACAATCTACAACTCAATTTGAGAACAACAATAACAAAAAATCGTGCCAAAGCATAATCTATTTCAAGGATCAACCCACTTAACTATCTTTTCTTTAAGGATCAGTTTGGATGGATGTAAATACCAGAACAGTGGTTCTGAACTAGGAGTAACTTTTGCCCCCCAAGGGACATTTGGCAGTGCCTGGAGACATTTTTAGTTATTTTTAGTTGTCGTGATTTCGTGAAGGTTGCTAATGGCATCTCATGCGTAGAAGCCAGGAATACTCTTAAACTTGCTACAAGGCACAGACAGCACCCCCCACCCACAGGCAAAGAAGAATTATGTGGCCCAAAATATCAACAGTGGCAAGTTGAGAAACTCTGTGCTAAAGAATGTAAGGGCATGGATTATGGAGTCAGAAGGACGGAGGTTAGAATCCCAGTCTGTGGCTTCTTAGCATGTGACCGTGAATAAATTACTTAACCTGACCCTTAGTTCTGAAGTGTGACCTGACCTCACAGGTTTTGTTTGATAAGTATCTGAAAGAGTATAAGTAAAATATCTGGCCCCAAATAAGTCCAGTCGTTCAGTTTCCCTTCCCTTTCTCTAACAACAAAGTGTAATATGAAGCTCCACCTCCAAGTGAGTTCTGGAAGAAAAGAATTTTGAAGCATTTTTATTTTTCAATGATCTGGTCATATCTCAGCATTTTGTTGTATGTTTTTAAATAATAAATGTTAGCTAGAGTTTATTGAACTGAACAGAATGAGTCTTATTGGTTTGAGAGACTGCAGGAAAATTCTCGGTTCTCTTTGGGATCTTTCTGATTGCAGTTCTAATGGCATCATAGATTTTGTGTGAAACGAGCAGGACACGTAGGTCTGGGAGTCAGACAGACTTGGATTCAAATTTTGTGGCTGCATTTCTTGGCTATGTAACCTTAGGCACAAAATACTCCACTGGAGCCTCGGTTTTCCTCATTGGCAAAATCAGGATCATGATTTTCATCTTTCAGATTTGTCTTTGGACTATAAATAATACAAATAAGGCAATGCCTAACACAGAGCTAGACAGTGCTGAGGACCTGCCTTAATTACAATAACCTGAAGTAGGGGCCGGCCCGGTGGCACAGCAGTTAAGTTCGCACTCTCAGCTTCTTGGTGGCTCGGGGTCCATCGGTTCGGATCTCGGGTGCAAACATGGCACCCCTCGGCAAAAGCCATGCTGTGGTAGGCGTCCCTCATATAAAGTAGAGGAAGATGGGCATGGATGTTACCTCAGGGCCAGTCTTCCTCAGCAAAAAGAGGAAGATTGGCAGTAGTTAGCTCAGGGCTAATCTTCCTCAAAAAACAAAAAACAATAACCTGAAGTAACTGTTCTTCGTGCTTTCATTTTTCTTGCTTCATTAAAGGCATGAGAGGTAGGCCAAAGGGAAGAGAACTAAGGTGACCCCCTAGGTTGAGGGAACAAGACCCATGGGGCCAACCAGCGAAGAGAACTCACCTTGAAGTGAACAGCCTGTTCACAGAAATCAACCCTACACATTTGAATAAGATCTTTGAGTGTATTCAACAAGAAATATTCAGCATGTGCTTTTAAAGAGAGGAAGTGGTCAGGTACCACATATTACCAGAAGGACTCCGTGACAGATTGTATTTTCCAAAGATGGCTGCAACAATTTCCCATCCCAGACCACACATTGAGAGATGCTGTAAATTAACTTAAGGTATTTTATTTTAATATTATTTTTGATATGCTCATTTGTTTCAAATTACAAGTGCAATGCATGTTCACTATAGGAAATTTGGAAAATGCAAAAAAATGATGTGAGATTAAATAAGATCACATTAGCAATGGTATTAAAATATCTTTTGGGTGAATTTCTGTTTTCAAATGTGTTTAGCTATACAGTTCAGATACAAAATCCTAAGTGACCATGATATTAAGGCTGTGTCTTCACAGCAAAACAAAGTACAAATTGAGATAATTACTGCAAAAATTTAGGCCCAGAACCTGCTTACCTAGACAATCCCTATAATTAGGGAAAGGTGTTTGGGATAATTGCCTCAATTTACCACTCTAGCAGTTTGAGGGAATGAGGTATCAAGAATTGGTTGGCATCAGTTTTCTTTTCTGATTATACAAAATGCTTAATCAGACTACTTTTCTCAAAGTATTTTTTCCTCAATGAAAAGCCTTTTTTTAAATATTAAACTGACTTTGACTCAATTGTCAAAAGACTCTTCCCGTTTTCAATACCCAAATCACCAATCAAGTCTATCAATTTAGTTTATTTTTAAAAAAGGGAAAGAAAACCAAAGAGCAATGAAGCCAGTCAACAAATTCAAAACACACATTTCAAGGTATAAAATGGTCCCTGGACTATTTCTAACAAGTAAAATGAAACGTACCCTTCCCATTGTGCTGAGTTACGCCCCATCAGATTGACAAGGACTCATGGGGGTGACCGTTCTAGGACTGAAATTCCATTTGCCTTCATAGTATGTGCATATTGTTGGGTGGGGGGCACGGAGGTAGTCTCAGAAGGGAGTAAAGAGGGGCTACAGTCCAACAATTTAGAAGAGATTGCGAACATTTTTTTTGTCCAAGATTTAACTGAGATACGAGACTTCCAAAGGATGTACAGAAAGTAAATTTTGGAGGTGCCTCTAATTTTATCCTCTGTGTCTCGTATTAAAGGATGTTGCGTAAGTTCTCAGGTAGAGCTCACTATTAAGAATCACAAGGAAAATTGATATAGTACGAAGTAATCAGAGGAGTAAGCCAAAACTCCCTCTGGCTTCTGGTCTAATCTTGAAGGGAAATTAGATTAGAAAAAGCAAAGCTAGAACCCGGAATGGCACAGCCACACAGGCCCAGGGAAACATACCAAGGAAAAACCAGGATGGGCAGGTGGGAGGTAAGGTGAATACAGGAACCATACGCTTGAGAGGGTGGGAGATGAAGACTTGTGCCCGGAAAGGATGGATTGGCCTGCTGAGGAATAAGGAGCAGGAACTGCAAATTTATAGCGTCCAACTGGCACCCTGTCCGCATTCCTAAACCAACACTGCCATCATCGGTTTCCTCATTTTTGGTTTGTTTGTTTCTTACATTCCAGATGACCAGCTTGAGAACGGGTTGCCACTCCTTGAATCGTATTATGCAAAAAGGAAGAACATGCAAGCACAGAGAAATCCTACCTTGCAAAATGAACTCTTTGGTTAATTTAGAATTGGTTCATTTCTCAGTTTTTTTCCCCCTGATGTCAAACAATTGACTTTCCAACTGTCCTCATTCAAATGCACTTATTTGCAAAATCATGATTTCTTGACGAATAGTTGTTTGCCAAGATCTGTCTCGTGTTTCATAGAACACTTAAGTGTATTGAATGGGAAAATCCTCAAGCTTTGTTCAAAGACATATACTGCCTCGAAATGCAGCATTTTGTACTCGACACAAAGGCGACAGAGCCTAATAATCGAGATAAATACTTTTCTAAAACTCTGAGTGTTAGACCGAAGTTTCAGACATAAATGTGGCCTGTTTCAGATGTTACTGGGCAGCGGGAGATTCCTCTGATTCTTTTCACCGGAGGAAGTGTCCTGGTGAGGTGTGTGTGGTATGTGAATTAGTCAGTGTCCAATTGGGACTCCAGTTTTCCTCAGATTATCTCCCTCTCATTTATGTTTCCTGTTCCAGCAGTAACTGGAGGTGATCACAAAACAGTAGGATATTTATTTCCTGGTTTTAGCTGACTAATGAGCGTCTAAGAGACACTTGCACCTTTTGTGTGCTTGATCAGATGGTGGAATTTCTCTCTCCACTCAAGTAGTTCCTTTTCCTCTAAAATCAATCAAAACTATTTCCCAACTGGCCCCGAACTTAAATAAAATAAACCAGGGCTTTTATTCAGTAACTTTAGTATAGAATAACTGCCTTAATATTTAGATAGAAGAAAAGCAGCAAATATTAAATGATATGACTTCTTTATACAGCAAAGATAAACTCTCTTCCAAATCCTGCCAAAAGTAAGTTTGTAACTAGGGGAGAGTGAGAAGGGAGAGAAGAAAAATAAAATCCCCAAAATACGTGGTATATATGAAAATCAGTAGATAAATATAATATCATCTTGAGAATAGAAATAACAATAATAATAATGGCAAATCAGAAACGGATAGTACTAAATTTCCCTCCCTGTTCGCCACCTTACAGGATATCCCGTCTAGCTGCAGAAACAAAACATGGAAATGAATCAGTCGATAAAGGATTTTCTCCCATTAAAGATGTTGGTGATTTTGTCCCATGTAGGGGAAGTTGAACATTAGGATAGATGTTCATAATCTGCGGAGACCACAGTAGCTCCCCCACCCCACGAAGTGGGATGCAAACTTATTGTGTGTGATAAAGAACATCAAGCTAAAATAACAGCATTTATCTAAGTATGATAATACTAAATCACGCCACAGACTGACCTAAATATTTAATTTTTTCCAACATTGATAATCAATATCTTTTGACTGCCGCCCTAACTGACTACTTTTGTTTTTCTTACTAAATCTCAGAAAACTGACATCTATGGACATTTCTTATAGCTTTTCTTGGAGCGGACAGGGATGGAGAAGAAAGCAGTCATTGTGGGGATGTGGAGCCGCAAGAGAGAGAGGCTGCTTTATTCAGGAGAAATTCAGAGGTCAGTTAAAAATTGTTATTATGGGGGGCCGGCCCAGTGGCCGAGTGGTTAAGTTCGCGTGCTCTGCTTCGGCGGCCCAGGGTTTTGTTGGTTCAGATCTTGGGTGTGGACAGGGCACTGCTCATCAAGCCATGTTGAGGTGGCGTCCCATGTAGCACAAGCAGAGGAACCTACAACTAGAATATACAGCTTTGTACTGGGGGGCTTTGGGGAGAAGAAGAAGAAGAAAAAAAGAAAAAAATTGGCAACAGATGTTAGCTCAAGTGGCAATCATTAAAAAAAATCATTATGATATTTTTCATTTCAAAAAGATGTAAATTACTCTTAAACAACTCATATTTTTCAAAAGTTAAAACCAAAAATGTTAATTAGTATGATTGTGATCATTTCAAATGTATATATACGTCAAAACATCAAGTTGTACATCTCAAATATATGCATTTTTATTTTGTCAGTTATACCTCAGAAAAGCTACAAATGAAAGTAAACATCAAGCATAAAAAGAAATAAAAAGGAAAGAAGAAGAAAGAAAAGAAAGAAAGAAAAAGAAAGAAAGAAGGAAAGAAAAGAAAATGAAAGAGGAGTGAAAAGGCCCTTACATTCCCAAGGTTCCTGTGACCTAGAAATGAACTTGTCCTAAGAATCAGGTCGAAGGCATTTATTCAAAGGTTCAGAAGGACTTCAGCTTTCACTATTCTTAGAAAGATAAAGTTAGTATTACACATGTCATTATCATGTTGGGATCAAAATGGAGGACTCACTGGCATGAAATGTTTAAAGCAGGAGGTGAAGATAGATTTATGTAATGCTAATTTCAGGCAGCTTTCAAGGTTAATGCTTGTCCACATTTGCAATGGCCAACTCCCCTCACCCCAGGACCACGTGGTCAGCTCTGTACTGCTTGCCACTGGCATCAACCACTTCTGTGACGTGTTGGCTGCAATTCAACAGTGAAGCATGCATATTCTCTACTTGAGCATTTGAGGAGCCTGCAGGCAGTGAGGTATGATGCAAATGGAAAAAAAGAAAAACTGTGACCTTGAAACTCACCATCATAAGCCATCTAGGTGTCCTGCTCGGGCTTCCAAAGTGGGCGCTCAGACAGGCCACCCAAACTGCTGACATCCTTCATTGACCCTTTCAGAGCAATTGTGAACCTAATGACGTTGTTTTTGGGTTTTGGAACTGAACTTTACAGGGATTGGTTCCAATCCTGGGTGGTGCTGAGAAAACTCAAGTCTCACCAGAATTTGGCTGAGACCACCAGACGTGTTTCATGTGAGGGCCTTTTCCCATAATCTGACCAGAATGGTTTATGAATGTTCTGGAGAGCAAAACACAGGTCCCAAAGGCTGAGAAGGGTCACGCCCTGCTCAGCTAGGAGACCACACAGCCATCCTCCCTCCCTTCTGAGTATTTATAGTTAGAAAACCACACCACCCCTCTCGTTCGGAAGCTGAGGGTGAAAGTGGAAAAAGCCAGAAACACGAATTGCATCCTACAGCTGAGAAAGCCCCTCTCTTGGAAAAGCTAGAAAATAAATAAATAAAGGGGGAAATCCAAATGGGATTGCTCTTCAAACACACAAATGATCTTATGTTAACAGTTGGGATTAAACAGCTGTCTCGTGGTTATGTGATCATAACAGATGCTGTGTGCAAACGTTTCCTGCTAGCTTTGTTTTGGTTATTGCTGTTTGTGCAGTTCAATGGGCTGAATTCAGCTTAAGGGATACAGATTTTTATTATCCTTCTGTGCTGCACGGGCAGCTTCATCATCTCTTTAAGAGGAAAGGGGGCGTGTGTGAGGGATAGATGGAGGGAAATGGAGGGTGGGCTCTCCCATGTCACATTGGGAATGATGTCATATTGCTGAAATTCCAGCACACTCGTCTTAGGATCACTTTGCCGTTGAAGTGGTCCCCCGTTCTATTCTGTTTTGTTTTGGTTTTTTTTTCTCACCTAGGCTGTCCTCAGGTCTAGAGCAGTTTAGGCATCTGGAACAGAATTTATAGAACATAGAGAACGGTTCTTTTGATGACTAGCAGCTTACAATGTGGTAATGATCCCTGTTTTGTCTCACTTCCTCCCATGCCCTCCAGAGGTAAAATGTACTAGCTCATTTTTATTTTCCCTGGAAATTTCATTTCACCCTGGGAGCAGGGACCGCCCTATATATGTAAGCCAAGCGACATGGTGAACTGTCACGATTTTTTGGAAGTTCAAATCTGGAAGCCATTTTGGACTGAATTATATTACTTGTTCAAACCAAAATAACCTCTTGGCTCAAATTCCTCAGAGAATTGCCATGATTCATACACACTTTGCCTACCAACAGATTTAATTTCCATTGCTTATATTTTCCAAACATTTTTTAATACGATGTAAATGGCAGAAGTAATGTTTCTGGGTTCAGAAAAGGACCTGGCTGCCCTGAGGAGGAGGTAGAGAGAACAATGTGGGCCGTATTTAGCCGGTCTGGCATGGGCTCTGCCTGCGCATCGTGCACTGCCCCCCCCAAAGACCTCAATTTTCATCTATAAAAAGCTGATCTTCATGCACAGAGGCATGCATTCACTGGCCAGTAGCTCATCTCTACTTTTAAAAATTTTGGATAGGGGAAGGAGGGGGCAGCTTCCATTGCTTAATACCTTACCTTATGAATTATGTCTTTGAGTAAAGCATCCTACCAGGGCTTAGTCACTCCCCTCTGACTCTTTACTGAAGAGGAGGGTTTAACAATATATAAATATATCTAAGGAACCAAACTTAAATTGTAATCTTATTCTCACTCAAAAAAGGGATTTAATGATTACTCGTCAGAGTTCCCCAGCTCACAGAATGAAATTACGCCTTCTCTGATAAGTTGCCAAAGCAGTAACATTTCTATGATGCTTTAAGTAAATTTCAAAGCAACTTCCTATACATTCAATGCTTGATCCTACTCGTAGCTCTTGGAGGTATTTTCCTGGTCATACAGAAAAGCAAGCCAAGGTCCATCCTATAAGGAGAGTACCATATCTACGTCATCTAAGTTTATTCAAGTAGTAAGTGGTGAAGCCCACACTGGTACCCACATTGGGGATCTGTGACTATGGTTCAGAGACTGAGGACAGTATTTGCCCAGGGATCTCTGTTGTTGTTGTTGTTTTCATCAGGTGAGTGGGTGGGAGTGTGCTGCTCTACATCAAGCTGCCTCTGTTGCCTCTGCATCCTATAGGCAAACATCAGCATTCATCTTCTAGATGGTCTGGGTGCTCTTGGAATCCTGGAAAATTTGTTTTTGGAGAGCCTGGAAGGACTGAAGTTCAGCTCCCTTTGTGGAGCCAGCCTGTATCTCAAAACAAAAGATCCTTCCAAAGAAGATATACAAATGGCCAGTGAGCACATGAAAAAATTCTCAACATCCCTAATCATTAGGGAGATGCAAACCAAAACTACTGTAAGGCACTAGCTCACACTCATTAGAATGACTTCTAAAAAAAAAAAAAGACAGAAAATAACAAGTGTTGGTGAGGATATGGAGAAACTGGGACACTTGTGCACTGTTGGTAGGAATGTGAAATGGCACAGCCACTGTGGAAAACATTACGGCAATTTCTCAAAAAAATAAAAATAGAATTAACATATGATCTAGAAATTCCACTGCTGGGTACATCATCAAAAAATTGAAAACAGGGTCTTGAAGAGATATTTGTACACCCATGTTCATAGCAGCGTTATTCACAATAGCTAAAACATGGGAGCAACCCAAGTATCCATCGATGGATGAATGGATAAACAAAATGTGCTCTATGTGTATATACAATGACATGTTATTCAGCCTTAAAGAGGAAGCACATTCTGACTTATCCTACAGCAAGGATGAACTTTGAGGACGTTATGCTAAGTGAAATAAGCCAGTGACAAGAAGATAAATACTGAAGGAGTCCACTTATATGAGGTACTTAGAGTAGTCAAATGCATAGAGACAGAAAGTAGAATGGTGGTTGCCAGGGGTTGTGCAGGAGAAAATGGGGAGTTGTTTAACAGGTACAGGGTTTAAGGATGAGATGATGATAAAGTTCTGGAGATGGATGGCGGTGATGGTTGCACAACAATATGAATGTACTTAATACCCCGGAACTGAACACTTAAAAATTTTATGTTGTATGTATTTTACCACAATAAAAAAAAAATTAGAACAAAACAAAAGGTCCACTATAGTCACCTAAGACCTGGAAGGTTAGGTCTCCACAAACTGCTTCCCTTGACATCTTGCTCTTGCCCCTTCTCCACTGTGTCTGAACATAGAACACACTCAGCTTTTCACATTGTGCTGTACCCAGATACTACACTGTGTGCAGATTAAATAGCTGGGGAGAAGTGCAAGTGAAGCCATCAGAGAGGTTTGATTTATACCCTTTCCTTGATGATTACAAGTATCTCTAGGATCTTCATTCTTTTCAGGCTTGATACCAATTAAAATGCAAATCTTTCCAGGAGCGAATGTTTTAAGCATTTTCATCTTTGAATGAATTTCAGATCCTTTTATCTTCTACCTCTCTTTCTAAAACAAAGATGCCTTTTATTATGAAGGTAATAGGGAAAAAGGGTTAATAGCTAATACATACCAAGAGCTCTTACAAGCTGTCAAGATGGAGACAAACAGCACAACAGAAGAATGAATGTGGGTTGTAAGAAGACAGCAGAGGAGCCAATCCAGCTGGCCCCCGATCAAATAAAAACATGGTCAAAGTCACTTAGTGGCAAGAAAATGAAAATAACAAAATAGTAAGGTATCTATCACTTTATATTCATCAAGCTGGCAAATTTTTTTTTAAAAAGCTGTATCACCTATTGATGGCAGGAATGTGCAGAAAAGGGTGCATTAATACATAGTTGTAAAAATGTGAGGACTTTTTGCAATTTGGAAAAACAATCTGATGGCATATTTTAAATTCAAAGTATATCTATCCTTCCACTCAGCAGTCCCATTCTTAGGAATCCATCCCAAGAAATAAGAGTCTTCCTCTTTTAGGAAAGTCATGGGACATATATCTGAGGATGTTTGCTATAGCACTCAAAGTGACAAAAAATAATAATAAAAAAAAAAGATTCAAGCTCAGTACATCCATGACATGGATTATAATGCAACCACGAAAAGAAAAAAAATTTCAGCCATATCAGATGACTCAGTTGGAATTCCATGAAGAATTGCTGAATAGGAAAACCCTTGTGTAGGAAGTATAGCTCATTTTAGAAAAACAAGTAAACACACACATGCACGCACACACACACACATGCACACACAGACATGTACTCTCTATATCCACCCACAGAGGATCCTAGGATTATATTTGAATAAGAATATATGTGCTTGAAGACATATGGAAGGTTTATTACTAGGTAATTCATATTATTTCTCTGTGGAGAAGTAGGCTAATGTGAACAGAGAAAAGAGAAGAAAGTGAGTTCACAAGCTAAAAAGAAAAAGAAAAAATAATGGCACCAAAATGAAATGTGTTTGCTGCATTGCTTTTTTTTGTATATGTGGGTATACATATAAAGAAACTTCTATGGAAAGATAAAGCCAAAGTATGACATTTTTCATAACAAAAAACCTGGAAAACATGAGGCTTCTTGAGAGAGACTATCTGCCACTCTTAAGATTATTATAATAATTTTCTCAGTTAAAAATAAAGATCAGTGACTCAGGTCATCCACTGTGAGTTTTGATGATGCAGAAAACTCACTTGGCAATTTCCTTAGGAATTAAACAGCTATCCTTTTGCTTTTCTGTGTGTCTCTGGTTCTTGGAAGCAGAGGCAGTGAGGAGGGGATAGTTCAGAGTTCAACATTGTGTCCTAAAAGTGTAAATACTGATGTCATTTGAAACAAGCGCTGAAACAGAACATCATCAGTTGTTGTTTTAAGTAGTAATCAAACACAAGTAACCAAGTTACATCACACAACACTCATATCCTGGCTCCAGGAAGGAGTCTTACAGAGAAGTAGCTGAAGGCAGCAATGCAGGACACACCTCTCAACACATAATCATCCTCTAAACTGGTTTCCTAATTTGCATTTCTAAAATTGGAATACAGTTTGCAAAAGGGCAGAAAGGGCTGTTTAATGCCATGAAATTCCCACTCCTGATTTCTTAATTTTGATTTGTCTCTCAGTTGACCAGTACATAAGTGTGAGTTTATTTTCAAATATCATGATACAGGGGCCGGCCCAGTGGCATAGTGGTTAAGTTCACATGCTCCACTTTGCCAGTTCTCCAGGGTTCCTAGGTTTGGATCCAGGGCACGGACCTACACACCACTCATTAAGACATGCTGTGGTGGCATCCCACATAGAAGAACTCGAAGGACTTACAAACAGGATATACAACTATGTACCTGGGCTTTGGGGAGGAAAAAAAAAGAGGAAGATTGGCAACAGATGTTAGCCCAGGGCCAATCTTCCTCACCAAAAAGCACACCTTTAAACAAAATCATGCTACATGGATGATCATTTTCAGATTATGTGAAAATGTACCTATGAAGCCTTTATATACTAGAAGAAACTTGATTAGTGACAATATAGATGAGTCACAGTCCAGTTCCCATAGAAGTGAGAAGAAGCTTTTCCCTTATCTTCAGCATTTTCAGCAGAAAAATCTGAGGTCAGCCCATTTTGCTATTTTATAGGTAATTTTTCCCTTTGCATTCCTGTGTACTTATATGATATTTACTCTAATAATTTAAATCTTTTCAGTGTATTAATTTTTTCATTGAGGTTGCTTGTACTGCTATGGATCCATTTGATATGCATATTCTAGCTTTTATTATGCAGTAAAGTTTTCTTTAATCTTATCTTTGAATATTGTTTCTGTTCCAGTTGTCCTGTCTTCTTCCTCCGGAACTCTTATAAATTCTTAGATTTGGTCTCCATTTTGTTATTAACATCTACTATACTCTTAAAAGTATTTTTTCTTTGAGAGCTTCAGTGTCTGAGGCTTGTTTTCATTATCACCAATTTTTTGTGGGTTTTTTTCAATACACTTCTACCCTAGGTGCTATCAATTCTTGTTTTAATTGTGCAATTGTATTTTTAGTCTAATTTGTGTAACTGCTGTGATAGGTCACAGTTGTGATACTATGCAAAGTTCAAGTGTTCAAAACTGGAAACTTCTTTATTTTATAAGTTAGCTTAATTTCTCTCAAATAGTCCCCATTTCCACAGATGACAAAATACATAAAGTTATTATTTCCAGGAATACTCCTTAAGTATTAGTTTCCTATTGCTGCTATAATAAATTTAGTGACTTAAAACAACATTCATTTACTATTTTACAGTTCTGGAGGTCAGAAGCCTAAAACTGGTTGACAAGGCTGTGTTCCTTCTACAGGCTTTAGGGGAGAATACATTTTCTCGCTTTTTCCAGCTTCTAGAAGCCTCCTGCATTCCTTGGCTCACGACCCCACATCACTCTAACCTCTTCTTCAGTCACATCCCTTTCTCTAACTCTGACCCTCTTACTTCCTTCTTATAAGGACCTTTGAGATTACATTCGATAATCCAGAATAATCTCCCCATCTTAAGAACCTTAATCACATTCACAACATTACCTCTTGCCATGTAAAGTACCACATTTACAGGTTTGTAGAACCAGAACATGGACATCTTTGGGAGGGAATTATCCAGCCTACTACAGTTAAATTCATATGTGATTATTTCAGTCACTGGCAAGTTTACAAATGCCCACTAGGTCTTTTCTTCTAATTTCTCCTTCCAGGTCACTTTAAATCCTTGAGGATGGTTGCCAGAAAGGGAAGCTGTATCTTTTACTATATCCCTTTTTTTTTTTTATCAAGTTAATGATAGGTTACAATCTTGTGAAATTTCAGTTGTACGTTAATGTTTGTCATTCGTATTGTAGGTGCACCACTTCACCCTTTGTGCCTACCCCCCCACCCCACCTTTCCCCTGGTAGCCACTAATCTGTTCTCTTTGTTTTACTCTATCCTTTTATAATAACTGGTAAACAGTGAGTAAACTGCTTTCATAAGTTCTGTGAGATGCTCTAGCAAATAAATTGAATCTAATGAGGAGACTGTGGAAACCTTGGACTTAAGGCCAGTGGGTCAGAAGCACAGGTGACAACCTTGACTTGCAAATGGCATCTGAAGTAGGGGAAGGGGGCAATCTTGTGGGACTAGGCCCTTGACCTGTGGGATCTGACTTTATATCCAGGAAGATAGTGTCAGAATTGAGTTACATGGTAGGACACACATCTGGGGTCACAGAGAATTACTTGGTATGGGACCAAACCCCACACATCTGGGGTCAGAAGTGGGCCAAGTGTGGCAGTAGTGTGACAGTAAAGGAGAAGCACACCAGGTCCAACACCAGGTCTTCTTGTGTCTTACTGATCAAGTCAAACTGTTCCTCAGATGTTTTTTTCTGGTTCTGGCAATGAACCACATGCCATTTATCGCTTTGACAGTAGAATTTTCTTGGCGCTCCAAGTTATTGTTGATGTTTCCTGCTCTTACCCA